TGGGGACTAAAATCACTTGATTATGAGTACTTATTTTGGTACATAATTAAAATTAGAATATAATTACAAGTGTGATTGACAATGTAATCAGCTGGAAAATTTAGTCCCAAGGACATATGGCTATGAATTCTTACCAAGATACTGAACTGTCAGACCACAATAGGTGGCGACGTTGACAAACAGGACATGCTTGCCCATATACTGCTTGAACTGAATCCGTTCCTTTCCATCAAGAGTGGGGGCCTCATAGTCATAGATGGTGCCTTTCACATCTTTGTAGCAATCCATCTGGAAGATTTTTAAAAATAGTCATATTAGTTACAACAATTTCTGGCATCTGTGTAATCTTTCAAAGCACTCAAAGAATAATACACGTATTAACTGAGACCCAGAAAACAAACAAGAGTTGTCTAAAGTGTCAATGACAAGACTGAAACTTGGGTCTTGTGACTTGAACTCTAATGGTTTTTTGAGCATTAAGCAGTCCAGTCTCTCTTCCTATTATCCTGGCAGAGGTAAGATCCTAGGAAACTCATGGCTGAATGGAAAAAAGCAGATTCATGAGCTGGGAGAGAGCAGCTGGAAATAAGTGGGATAAACAAAGAAAGCTGCCTTTCATGCTTCTGTGAAAATAGAGCCACTCCCTAGCTCTGGATGGAAGGCACCCCACCTAGACTCTCTCAGAGAAGGGTGCATTTTACATTGCTTAAGAATTTCAGGACGACCTATTAACTTCTTTTTCCCTAGGTCTTCTGACCTCTTACTCCACTTATCAGCAAGGTAGAGTGTAAAGAACTCTGGGAATCAGAAGCCAGTTCTATTGCTAAGTTACTTTGTGAATCTGGGCAATTCTCACCCCTGGCCTTCAGTTTCCCCAAGAGTAAAACAAAGACATTCATTTACATTTTTTTTTTTTTCTGACCAGTAAGGGGATTGCAACCCTCGGCATGGTGTTGACTGCACCACGCTCAGCCAGTGAGCGCACTGGCCACCCCTATACAGGATCCAAACCCACGGCCTTGGCACTACCAGTGCCGCACTCTCCCAAGGGAGCCACAAAGCTGGCCCTCATTTACATTTTTATTAGAACCTCAAAGGGCCTTCCAGATTGGACATTCTAAAATCTAATATTATCCCCACCTTGAAGAGTTACCCCTCTCCAGTCACTCTCTTCCTCATATGATGATCTTGTAAGCCAACACTGTGGAACCTCAGCTTTTTGTAGCTCCTAAGAAAGGAGAAGGAGAGCCCTAAAGTCCATCTGCAAGTAGGTCACTAAAATCTGGCAGCATCCAACCTATTACACACCCAGCTCTTCACCCTATTGTACTCCAGGTGTCATCTATCCCATTCCTTCTCAAATTTCTTGAAAATACTTGAGCAGACTTCTACATAACAGAAATAAGTTCTACCTGAAATTCTCATTGCATGTTCTTATGTTAGATTCTTCTATAAAGCAAGTCTCATCTCATTCCTCCTCTGTGTCTCTCCTTGCAGGGTCCATGCAGTGCTCAAGGAGTACTGATGCCACAGTGCTCAACAGCACCTCCTGATCCCTTTCCCTATATTGGGGAAACTGCCACAAATTGCTTAAGGAGACTGGCCGGTTAGCTCATTTGGTTAGAGTGCAGTGTTGATAACACCAAGGTCAAGGGTTTGAATCCCCATACCGGCCAACCACCAAAAAGAAAAAAAATGCTTAAGGAATAAATGCAAGGAGCGTAAGATAGGAAGTATGAAAAGGAAGCAACATATTCAAACCATCCAGTGAGGGGGAAAAAAAAACAACCCAGATAGGAGCTGGAGAGAGAAAGGAGAGAAGGGCATTATCTGATAAGGAAGGTCCAGAATTAAACTGGACTTCCTGGAAAAACAGTGGACTAGAAAGAATTTTAGCCAAACACCATCTGCCCCCACCCAAAGGAGTTATGCAAAATAAAGTCAACTTTTTCCAACCCTATCAGCTCATGATTCTATAAGTAGGACAGGTTGTAGCTA